GCTTGAAGGTGATGAAGTTGTCGGAGTTCGACCAGTGGTAGTGCTTCAGCATGAGCGTGTCCGGGAAGTCCGCGGCCAACAGACCAAAGTTGGGCATGATGCCCGTGAAGCCCCAGCCCGCTGTCTCGAGTGAGACGACCTCGACCTCGAGTACATCTCCCGGGTTTGCGCCTTCAATGTATACCGGTCCGAAGATTGGGTCAAACGTCGAGATTGGAATTTGTGAGAGATCTGAGGCTTTTGAGGTGGCTGTCACTTGGGCGCCGGACGAGTCAAGAAGATCGAAAGACACGACCTCGCCGGGGGACACAGTCAAGGCCGGCGGTGTTGCGTTGGACCATTTCAGGCGGGAGGTCGAGGGACCGATATGGTGTTTTCGCGTCATCTTTTCTCGCAGAACTTTGAGGGGAAATGAGAGACAGGTGAGAAAGAGCTCAGAAAAGGCGCGATTTTGAATGACTCTGACCAGTTTGAGACGCTGGCAATGAGACCGTGTCGCGGGCGCAGAAGCCCGAATATGTCGCTTATCGCCCCCAGCGATGCGGGGTCGCGGTCGTGACGTATCGTCGATCCAGGACAGGCCCCTGGGTACGTTGCGTCAAAAGTGCCGGTTTGCCGTATTTTTGCCAGTAGGAACAACGGCTTAGATAAAGATAAGAGCGAATTGCTCCTTATGGGCAGTTGAGCAATGAGGTTGTTCCATTTAGCTCAAACCTTTGCCGTCCAAGTCCCTGCACAGCGATATTCTCCGCATTGGATCGAGCGAACACCGAGCTTATTCCCGTCAGTGTGGTTATGCTTTTGATCTGCCTTCTGTTCGGACAACTCATGCAGGATTGAAGTTTGTGGTCGCATTGATCTTAGATTGGCTTCAATCCTTATAAGATCGTAGTAAATCGATGTTTTGCAGGTTCGTTGCCATGAGACGAGTAAGCCCCGAACTGTGGCTTTTTCAGCTTGCCATAATGTGACTTGGGGGTTTTCATTTGTTGGAGATAGCGGATGCATTTTTGAAAGCCTGTAAGATGCGTGCCCCATTCAACCACAACATGACTGCACCTGTGCACCAATTCCATTTTTATAATAACCTACTTACTTACTAAGATGCACCGAAGGATTCTGGGTGAACATGTCGGCCAGGCCAATCAACCAGGTTCTCGCCCGGCGGAACGGCGCGCAGGCTGAGCACAGGAACAGCTGAAAAGACTGCCCGAATCAACATGGTTCTAATTTCGGCTCCCTGTAAGAGCCCACTTAGTTGGATGAGGTCGCTCTGCAGGACAGAATGCGACGTTCGTCTTTGGAAGCCTGGAGCCTTGTCTCACTCAATCGCTTGCTTACTTCTCACAGTCTGTCAAGAGTTCATCTTGACACGAACATCAACGCCTTCATCAATCGCTCACTTGATCAATTTCGTAAGTTTGGATCGCCTGCTTGAAGATTATCTTACTGACCATCCTCAATCCAAGGGTCCATGACCGATCCGATACCTGGCAGCAATGTGGCTCATTGACACTAACACCCTCCGTCTCGTTGGGGTCCAAGGGGATCCACAGGAGGACTACGCGATTCTTTCCCACACCTGGGGCGCGGACGAAGTCACCTTCTCCGCCTATCAAGCCTTGAACGCGGCGACTCAGAATGGATCATTTCCTGCGCTCGAAGATATCGGTGGCCAAATCGGCGTCACAATCACAGCCGGCTATCGCAAGATCAAAAATTCGGCAGACTTGGCCAGGAAGCAGAAACTGAAGTACATATGGGTCGACACCTGCTGCATCGACAAAACAAGCAGCGCCGAACTGTCGGAGTCCATCAACTCCATGTACCGGTGGTACCAGAAGGCCAAAGTCTGCTACGCCTTTCTCGAAGACGTCAAACCAGTGAGCCTCAGCGACCCTTTCGGCAAGAACTCGAGCTTCAGGAAGAGCCGTTGGTTTACGCGTGGTTGGACCTTACAAGAGCTGATTGCTCCTGCGACCGTCCAATTTTACGCCCAGGACTGGTCCTTCATCAACGCGAAGCAAGCCGGAGACGATGCGTTTCGTGGGCTCTTGACCCAAATCACGGGCATCAACGAGTCGCTGCTTGCCGGGAAGACGTTGCTCTCGGATGTGAGTGTGGCGAACAGGATGCAATGGGCGGCTCTCAGACAAACAACAAGAATTGAGGACATGGCGTATTGCCTTCTTGGTCTGTTCAACGTCAATATGCCGCTGCTCTACGGCGAGGGCATGCGAGCCTTCACCCGCCTCCAAGAAGAGATTCTGAAAGAAACAGACGACCAGTCAGTCTTCCTTTGGGGCATTCCACCGGACGAGACGTTAGAGGGCGATGCCCTCTACGGACTGCTGGCACCGTCACCTCATGCGTTCTGTCAGCTGGACCTCGATCGGGTCCGCCCTCTCCCGCCATCTGAGGTACAAGAGAGCACGCCGGCGACCGTGACCAGCCAAGGACTTCGAACAAGTCTGCTCCTCTTTCCTGTTGAACCCGAGTCGGACGACTACTACGCGATGCTTGATTGTGTCGCCTCGAAAGCTGACGGGGTAGCTGTTGACTGGAATCCCGGGATTATGGTCAGGAGATTATGGGGCGATCAATTCGCTCGAATCACATCTCTCAAAGGCTCCGTCGTATTGTTCCCCGAAGACAGCTTCGACGAAAAGAAGGGGAAATTCGAAAACGTCTACGTCAGACAGAATCCTTTTTACGCCCTGCCTGAGGTGACGATCAGGTCACGAAGCCGGCGCGGCGACAATCTGACGCCAGGATATCTGGGTTTCAAGGTGTCCGAGGCATACCCGCCAGATCGATGGGACTCAAGCCTGTCAGTCATCAGACCCAAAGAACCACAATCGGGACGCCCATTCGTTGTCCTCCGATTCGCTGCAGATGACCGGAGTCCAATTCCCACGGTTGACGTTGCCATCGGACTTCGTCGCATCCAAAAACGGTGGGAACTCTGCTACGAGAAGCATCCATCTGGCGGCGACCAACTCCAAAGGATATATCAGAATCTTGTAAGAAAGGACATCACCACAGACCCGGCGGCATCAAGCTCTCGCGGACTCGGATTTGTCAACATCGCCGTCAAAGCGACGCAACGCAGAGGTCGGCGCTTCATCCAGCTAGAACTCTCCGGCGCGGTGCAACTCGACTCCAAATCCATCCAAAACGCCACCGTCTCAAGAGAGATAAGACGCACCCTCTCGGACGAGATATCGGAAATCACCCGAACATGCTGCGTCCCGCAGAAGGTCGCATACATCCTGCCAAAAGAGGCCCGGATGGTTGAGGCCGTCAGGACCAAGTCGCCGGACATGAAGCCCTCGCCGGGGTACTACGGTTTGGGCAACATGATCAACGACGTCGAGGTCGACGAGAACAAGCCGTACGCCAACATGATCCGCGCCGTGCGTGCAAAGCGCGAGATGAAGATCAAGTCTCTGGTTTCCAAAGACCGCAGTCTCCTCGAGTGCGAAACCGAGGAGTTTGACCGCTTTAGACCGATACACTGGGCAGCAGGCATTGGCTCACAATCTGTGATGAAGACGCTGATCAAGCTTGGCGTCGACCAGACCAGTCTGACTGGAAGCGGGCTGATGGCGATTCACGTGGCTGTTTTGAATGGCCATTTCAACCTGGTGGCCTATCTGTTGGAGGAAGAAGCATGCCTCCAGCCGCGAACGACGCCGGATTGCCTACACAGATTCTTGACCGATAGGCAAGAATCTGTGATGCATGTTCTCGTTTCGCCCGTCTCCGTCGGACTTCACATGCAGCGGATACAGAAGATCATCGAAAACATAAAGGAGGAGATGGGAGGAACACATGCTTTCGCCCACAGAAATTGGCTGGGTGAAACCCCTCTCCATCTGGCTGCCGCAACAGGGGAAGAGTTCCCTCTCAAGTACCTGATGGACGTCGCAGGACACCCTGACGCCCACCAAAGAGTAGACAGATTCGGGCGCTCAGTCCTGTTCCACGCAGCATGCGGCGGCAACCGGAATGTCATCAAGTACCTCGCTGAGCGTGGCGCATCAGTCAACCTCAGCGACGATCTCGGCCGAAGCCCCCTCCACGCCGCTGTCACGGTCAATAACCACGACTCCGTCAGTGCTCTCCTCAACTACCACGCAAACCCAACAAGCATAACCCACAAGTTTGGACTCACGCCATTGCACTTCGCCTGCCTGTATGGACATTCCGGGGTGATTCGCCGGCTATCGGGCTCAACTATGGACCACTGGTCAGCCGGCGGTCTGGCCTTCCAGCCTCTCCACCTGGCTGTCGCTAACGGGCACGAGAGCTGCGTCAGTCATCTGCTGGACGCCGGGTGCCAGACTGATAGCTATTGTAACAGCTATCTGAAGCTCGTGCGGTCGAAGAATGGCGTTCAGTGGGAGGGGAAGCTGGTCATGTTGGAGACTCCGCTGAAGCCGGCCGATCTCGCATTCAAACTCGGCTTTAAGAATCTTGTTTCTATGTTGAAGGGCAAAGTGGTCAAAACCAACGGGGTGAACGGAGACGGGACAAGGCATACAACTTCATCGGTCGAAGTCAACGGAACGGGAAAGTCGAATGTGACCACCGGCCCGCTGTGGGGTCTGCTCGGACTTGAAATGCTCGACGACTAGGCATACTTGAGAGTCTGGCCAGATCACATCCGGAGAAGGGAGACGAAAGAAAATAATAAGACTGTATAATTCTTAGATAGGGTATGTCATCGCGTATATTTAGCATTTAATGTTTGAATTTGAAGCCTTTGTAGCGAGAAAAGCCAACTGAAAGATCACTGAAAAATGGTTGCTTTCATCATTTCATGGTTCCGCCTCAGCTGAGAGACAGTCTGCGTGTGAGCGGTCAGGTTTTGGAATTTAAATAAGACGAACATCACTCTATCGATCCTGAGAACCTTTAAATGCGTTTGAACAGCCTAAAATCAATTAACCCAATTAAACTCCTCTGAATGCTTCCATGCAGGTATCATCCCACCCTCACGCCTCGACCGCGCCCCAGGCACCACCGCCCGGCGACTGGATAATCACCCTCTCCCCAGCCCTCAACTTCGTCGTCGCCTTCGCCCCAAGGTTCACCACCCTCTCCTCCCCATTCTTCATATCATCCCTGACAATAACCAAGTTCACACCCGCCTCTCCATCTCCACCACCCTCCATGCCATACGGCCGCCTGCTCCGGCGCTCGCTGAGAATGGAGCACTGCACCGGCACCCGGAACTCAATCTCCCTCACGGTGCCGTCGCCGCCGCGGTTGCGGCCCACGCCGCCCGACCCCGCGCGCAGCTGGAACCGGCGCAGCACGCACGGGTAGCGCTTCTCGAACACCTCGGGGTCCGTAATGCGCGTGTTCGTCATGTGCGTGTGCACGCCGCTCTGGCCCGCCCACGTCGGCCCCGCGCCCGCGCCGCCGGCGATCGTCTCGTAGTATCCGAACCCGTCCTTGTGCTCGCCCGTCACGGGGTCCTTGCCGCCCGTGCCGAAGGTGAGGTTGTTGCAGCAGCCCTGGGAGGCGGCGGACGCGCGGAACGCCTTGAGGACCACGTCGGTGATGCGCTGCGAGGTGAGCACGTTGCCGCCGACGACGGCGAGCCCCGCGCCCGGGTTGAGGATGCTGCCGTCCGGGATGACGATGTCGATCGGCGCGAGGCAGCCCTGGTTGAGCGGGATCTGCGACGAGATGAGCCCGCGCAGGCAGTAGATGATGGCGGAGTGGGTGATTGCGATCGGGGCGTTGGTGTTGCCGAGGACCTGCGGGCCGGTGCCGGTGAAGTCGAAGGTGGCGGAGCCGTCGGGGGAGACGGTGATCTTAAGGGAGATGGGCGTGCCGTCGTCCATGTAGTCGACGGCGACGAGGGGCTCGGGGCCGAACTTGGCGAGGGTGGATTGCATGAGCTCGCGCACGGCGTGCTCGGCCGTGTGCTGGATGGCGTACATGTAGCGGTGGACGGTGGCGAGGCCGTACTCTGCGATGAGGGCCTTGATCAGGGCGATGCCCTTGGCGTTGGCGGCGATCTGGGCCTTGAGATCTGAGAGGTTGTCCTGCAGTCTGCGGGTGCCGGAGCAGCCGTCGTACTGGGCGGGCTCCTCGAGCAGCAGGCGGCGGACTTCGTTTTCGTTGAAGCGGCCCTCGCTGACGAGCTTCGTCGACTCGATGGCGGCGCCCTCCTGCCAGAGAGCGGATGACGTCGGCGGCATGGAGCCGGGGAGGATGCCACCAATGTCCGCGTGGTGTCCACGAGAGGCGACGTAGAAGGCAATCTCCTCGCCGTCGAAAACGGGCGTGATGACGGTGATGTCGGGCAAATGGGTTCCTCCGCAGGACGGGTGGTTGGAAACGAGGACGTCACCGTCCTTCAACTTGCCGTTCCACAGGTTGTGCTGATAGCGCACGGCGAACTGCATAGAGCCGAGATGCACAGGGACGTGAGGAGCGTTAGCGACGAGGCCACCGTCGGGGCTGAAGATGGCGCAAGAGAAATCAAGACGCTCCTTGATATTGGTAGACACGGCCGTCTTTTGCAAGGTGCGACCCATCTGTTCGGCGATCGACATGAAACGGTGGCCGAAGACGGTCAGTTGAACGGGGCTGAACTCCTCCTGCTCGCCGTTGGTCTTGGCGACGACCTCCTTGGGCGCGCGGTCGATGACAACGTAGCTGTCGAGGACGGTGGCAGTCGACGCAGGCGTAACGAGAATGGTCTGCGTGTTGTCGATAATCAAAGCCGGGCCAGTGATGCGGGCGCCGACAGGGATGGTCTGAAGCTCATAGATCGCAGTGTCGAGGTGGCCGTGGCCCTCAAAGTAGACCTTGTTTGTGCCGCTGGGAGAGGGAGTCGCCGCAGTCGAGCCCTCAACGGCCTTCATCTGCGCAAAGGGGCTCTTCTCAACCTTGGCGCGCGCGGCGCCCGTCGCGCGGATACGGATATCGTCGACAATGATGGCCTTCTCGGGGAAATGGAACCCAAAGCCGCGACGGTGCGCGTCCTCGAACTCCGTCTTGAAGTTCCAGTCGGCGCCCTTGAGGATCATCAGGGAGCTGCTCGAGCCGGCGTATCTCATGTTGAGATACGCGTCGTGGGTGATGCGGTCCTCGGCGAACCCCTGCTTCACGAGCTCGAGGGTGGCTTGGGAGGAGAGGTCCTCGAGTTGCTGCTGGATGCTGGCGGCGGTCTCGTCGGAGTAGGTGATAGCAGAGGGGCGCTGGATCTCGTGCACGACGTCGGCCAAGGACATGCCGTAGGCTGACAGGATGGACGAGTACTTGTGGATGATGATGCGGGAGATGCCCAGAACAGTCGCGACGGAGCACGCATGCTGGCCACCCGCACCACCGAAGCAAGCAAGATGGTGAACACCAGCCTCGTAACCGCGAGCTTCGGTGAGGGCACGGATAGGACTGGCCATGCCCTCGTCGGCAACCTTCAAGAAGCCCAGAGCAACCTCCTCCGGGGAGAGAAGAGACAGGCCAGAGGCCTCGCGGTCCTTGTTGATCCGGCTGGTGAGCTCGAGGAACTTGGAAGCAGTGACTTCGCGGTTCAAGGGCTCGTTCTCCTTGGGGCCGAAGACCTTGGGGAAGTACTCAGGCAGAAGCCTTCCGAGGAACAGGTTTGCGTCCGTCACGGTGAGCGGGCCGCCCTTGCGGTAGCAGGCCGGGCCGGGGTGAGCAGAAGCGGACTCGGGCCCGACGTTGAAGAGGCCGTTCTTCCATGTCAGAATCGAACCACCTCCGGCAGCCACGGTGTGAATATCGAGCTGCGGCGACTGAATAGCAATGCCGGCCGTCGTCGTCTCGAACACGTGGTCGTAGACACCAGCGTACCGAGACACATCGGTGGAGGTACCACCCATATCGAAACCAATCACCGGACGGCGCTCCTCATCGTCCCAGGAGGTCTGCGCGTAACCGACGACACCACCAGCAGGGCCGGACAGGATGGCCTTCAGACCGCTAAACTTGCGGTAGTCCACCAGGCCGCCGTCCGACTGCATGAACTCGATACGAGTAGCAGCAGCCGCAAACCCGCCCTTGAAGTTGGCCGAGATCGAGTCGATGTACTGGCGGATGACGGGTGTGAGGTAAGCGTCAGCCACGGCGGACATGCCGCGGGGCACGACGTTGATCATGGGCTGGACCTCGGACGACAGCGTCACGGAGAAGCCCATCTCGGCCGCGACACGGCCCACCAGCAGCTCGTGGTCCGGGTACGCGTACGAGTGGATGAAGACGACGGCGATGGACCGGAAGCCCTGCTCGCGGACCTTCTCCAGCTGCGTCTTGATCTCGGCCAGGTCTGGCCTCTTCAGGACCCGGATGGTCTCCCCGGTGATGGCGGTCACCAGCTCCTTGTCGTCGGGTGTGGGGGTGGTCTTGACGGAGGCCGGGTCCTCGGTGTAGTCCTCCATGGTGATGCGCTCGTCGACCTCGACGACTTCGTCGAAGAGGACCTCTGGCCTCGTCACCGAGAGATCGAAGATGTTGGGTCTGGACTGGTTTCCGATGGCCAGCAAGTCGCGGAAGCCCTTGGTTGTGATGAGGGCAACGCGCTCTCCTTTCCTCTCGAGAAGGGCGTTTGTGGCTACTGTGGTGCCCATGCGGATGGACTCGACGTGGAAGAGGTCCAGGAGCTGGCCTCTGGGTAGCGTCTCCCCGGTGACCATTTCCAGGATTCTGCGGATGCCCTCGGTGGGAGCATCTTGGTAGTTGGCCGGGTCGACGGAGAGAAGCTTGAGGATGATGTCCTCTCTGCCGGGGATGGCGGCGTGCACATCTGTAAAGGTGCCGCCTCTGTCGATGGAAATGCGGATGCGATGTGACTTGACGGTCATGATGATTGTCTGGGTTCGACTTTTGTATACAGTCGAAAGGCTGATGATATTGAAGAGAAGAAGGAAATGTGGCAGGGGTATCACGAGCAGTTGAGCCACAGCAACACGAATGAAGATGGGATAAGTCAACAACAGACAGATGTTCACTGTTGAGGGTTTATACTCAAAATGGTTCTCACAGTGAGTTTGTCACGATGTGTGAAAGCGCAGCTTAATAATTTGCCGTTGGGATCGGTAAAATGGGGCGTCGGAAGACATCTGCGATCGAGGAGAGGATTGTCCCTGAAACCGGCCTCTCGCGTTGCGCCATCGAGTCTCCCAGACGATTCATGATCGGGAATTCACGCTTCAAAGGCACAGACACAGCTGCTGGGCTGCCTTCACTCGGCCACAACGGCTTCAAGGCGCCATCGGCCTTTGCACCGGAGGTCGTCGGCGGGGGAAAGACGGCCAAGCTGAGAGTTTGGCTGCAGTGTCTGGCGGAGTGGGTCCCCGATCAGAGAATCTGCGAATGAGAATAGAGGTATTGGCCGATACTTGATAAGGCATGATGGCGAATGATGAAGTGGGATTGCGAGATATGAATTCGAGCGCGAGACAGGCAAACGCTCGACTGTAGCCGTCGGAGTGGGTCCCCGACGATATCGGCCTATCGACGGCACCTGATTGGATTTGAGCCGATGTCAGTCTCGGATCATCTCCGGGCCGGTCAGCTCCACCGCGGGCAGGGGTCCGGCTGTCGGCTGGTCTGTGCATCGGCAAAAAGACCGACTTCGCGATTGGAGGCGCCTTGGTCATGAAAACATGTCACTCGCTGCCCATCGCCGTCGCATTTCACCGTGCTGTCGGTGTCATCCTTTGGAGGCAGTGGAGCAATACCCCATAAAGCCCGATCCTCCAGGCTCCATGCTCTCACGAAAGCCATGAAAGTGTGCATATCCGTCGGTTCGACGTCTCTCCAACCATCCAGTCGTCCGTGGCCCCCAAGTCCGTGATTCCCCCGCGTTGAACCCCAGCCCGTGAAGCATTTCTGTGTGTCAACGACTCCATCTTCAAGAGGCAGCACAGACCCGCCCGCCTGCCTGCATCCAGCATCGCACATGGGGGTGCTTCATCCCCACAACTGATATGCCCGAGTGAGAGATCAGACATCACCAATACACACATCGAAATGTCGTCGGCGACCTCTGCATCTCCATCGCAGGCGGGCGAGAGTAGTAACACAAGACCAGTAGCGTAAGCGCAATCTACATGGTTTCATATTGCCAAGACCGTTTTTGTCCTGATGCGTGTGGTCTAGTTGTTTAAACTGCCGTCAACGGCGGTCGTATTGCTCCAAGGAGAAGCCGATTTGTTCACGATGCCGCGATAGCAATTTAATTTGCAGCTATGAAGAGACGAGAAAGATTACTGTCACCGAGGCGTAAGTTTGTTGCGCCAAAGTCTTTGAGTTATAACTGACTTGTTACAAGCCACTTGAGGGAGCTCGAGTGGAAGGCAAAAGCTTATGACGGTACAAATCCAACTCATGGCGTCTGTGATGGTCTCAGAGACTGACTTTTCCTTGCAGAGCTACTTACCCGTCAATCTCAGAACGGCCAAGGCCAGAGCATACCTGGTGCAAAGCCCAAAGGAATCTCGACCGAGGAGAATGACGAGGAATTTGAGGACGCGCATCCTTTGCTGGAGCCTTTCAACCAGTTGAGCGTTCATAAACCATCAACAAGTAGTGCCAAGTTCAGATGATATGCGATTGATGATACTGATTCATGCTCAGGTTTCAAAGGCCCAGGGTCTTCGGACAACTTCCTACGAAGCGTCAGGAAACTCTCCGGCTTCCACGGTGATGACGGCAGCCTGGACGTAAACCCCAACTTCTATGAGCCGAGCGCTTTACCATCACGGCGGGAGACAGCGAGAACACGAGTAAGACTACCGCCGATCGACATTGCACGAAGGCTCTTCGCCGCACAATACACGTACATCGGCACCATCTTCTCATTCACAGACCCGAAGGAGAAGTTCGACCAGCTATTGACCGAAGCGTACCGTGGTCCTCCAGACCCGTCGGACAAAGAAGCATGTCTTTCGTACGCTAAAGTCCTCATCATCTTGGCCTTTGGCCAGCTCTACTCTGTCAATCAATGGGTAGATTTCAGGGGGCCGCCAGGGTTCGAATACTTCACCCATGCCTTGAACCTACTCCCGGACACACATGAGGAGGGCTCGATTCTCTGTGTGGAGACCTTGGCGCTCATTGGCTACTTTATGCAAAACATGAACCGACGTGATGCTGCATTTCTATATATCGGCATGGCCCTTCGCATGGCCATCTCACTTGGGCTGCATCACGAAGTCGGCTACAGCCCGACGCCCACTACCTTGCAAGGCCAAGATGCGAATCCAGAATCGATCGATCACGACACGAGGGAGCACAGGCGGCGAGTTTGGTGGTCGGTCTACAGCCTAGACCGCATTCTGTCAGTCAAATCCGGCAACCCCATTACCATCCAAGACGAAGACATAGGGGTGGATCTCCCCTCCCGACTATCCAGGGAAGCAGAATACTGCCCTGCGGTGGTCTTGCGGCACTACACCGAGCTCTCCAGAATCCTCGGTGAGATCCACAACACCATCTACCGCAGGACAAGCAAGACGGCGCCGAAGTCCGGACAACGGCTCATGGCGTCGGTGCAAGGCATCATCCTCGGCCTGTCCAAGTGGAACCAGGACCTGCCAGACGACCTGCGCTTCGACCCGGCTCGCCTCAGCATCAGCCGCGAGAGCGTCAGCACGTTTGCCCATTACTACCAGTGCATCAACATGACTGCGCGGCCGCTGCTATTTCAGGTCGTGCAGAAGCGTTTGAAGAGAATCCGGAGCAGCAACGATCCCGGCGAAAAGGAGAGGGACTGGAAGGAGGGCTTGTCGCAGACAACCGTGAGAGTCATCGACATGTGCATCGGGGCCGCCCAAGACACCATCAACATGATGACCGTCGCGGCGCAGAGGGATCTTGTGGGTAAGTAAAGTAACTCCTTCAACTATGCAGCATGCATGCGGGATAGCGGGCTAACGGAGTAAATACGCAGCAACGTACGGCTACATGGACGGCGAACACGTATTCTCAGCCTCCATCGTCCTCGTCATGGTCTGCGTCGTATTCCCCACCAACGCGTCCAACATGCTCGCCATGAACGCCGGGCTGGACCTCCTCCGCGGCATGGGCGAGCGCGGCAACAGCTACATGGGCGCCCGCTACGAGCTGCTAGCCAACCTGCGCTCGGCGGTCATGTCCGAAGCCAACACCCACCTCGAGCAGCAGCCGCTGGGCGCGTTCCCGACGACCTTCTCGCCCACGGAGTCGCTCATGCCGGCGGGCGTCATCCCGCCGAACGTCGCGATGCTGCCGGTCAACAGCATGAGCGGCGACGGCAACCTCCTGGCGATGCGGTACTCGCTGGGAGGCGGGCAGAACATGGTCGTCGGCGCCGAGCGGGTCACGTTCCCCGTGGTCGACAACAGCGCGCTCGGGGAGCCGTTCTACGACGAGAGCGTGAGCACGGTGATGGACTTTGGGCTGTGGGAGGAGGGCTTCGCGGACCCGGCGATGGCGATGGACGCGAGCTTCGACTTCTCGCAGTGGACGCAGACGGCCGCTGCTGGCATGACTCAGGCAGATGATAGGATGGATGTATGACAAGCAACTCTTATTTTGCAAACTGCTGTCGCTCACCAGAAAAGTTTCGCCTTATCGATGTTATCGCCATGGGTGACCACAAAAGTCTGGCCACTTTTTTTCTGTTTCTGGCGATCGGCATAAGCTGGACGAACGCCTGAGGCGGTGACTAGCAAGAAAGGAGTCGAAGCCCGAGACTTCGGACGTCGTGTCCGGGGTGGCTTTTGTTATCCTGACATCATGCCGGGTGGCTTGGATGAGCTTCCTTGATACCGCGCCTAACACCCAAAGAGCTAAGACAAGGAACACCAACGCTGTGGTTTTCCGCGGCGTACTATGGTTTATGTTCCCCCAACGAACCTATGAAGGCAACTCCCAGCGCCTTCTTGAACCCAAATTACTCGCCAATGCAACGGCCACGCGAAGGATGATAGGGGAGCCACCCCGAAGGCGGGCGGGTGGAGAAGGCGCTATCAGCGCTATCATTCCCTGGTGGGGATGATCTCCCCGCACCGTCAGGGGTGTCGGTGAGGTCCTCCGATCATGGCCTGCTCTCTGGTTCGCAGACGACAGCCTGCCTTGCCCTGCGGCGCGGTTCTGCTCGTCGTCGTTAGGGGAAAGCCAAGAAATGCGGAGAGTAGTTACTAGTTGCCCCCTCACGATGTCACCGTTCGATACCAAGGATCCGTCTACCCGTGCCATGTGGGTTCGGCAATGCGACACATCCCGACGAACTGAAAGCGTTATCCGTCAAGGAGAGAGAGAAAGATGCAGGTGTCCCCCGGGAGGGGTATCGGCATTGGGAAAGATAAAGTCGAGTGATGCCCCCGTCACATCGTCCTGCAGCAGGAGATCCAAGAATAAGGAACAAACTTTAATTCGACTCACGTCTTGACGAGCTCACCAACTCCCACCAAGACCCTGAGGTGAGAATAGTCCCTGTTTCTTCGCCATGACGACAATCTCCACGGCCGTCGATGCCTCCGGCGGCATCACGGACTCTACGGAAAAGGGCCTCGGAAGCGACATTGATCGCGTCGACTCCAACAACGGCACCACGGCCATGGAGTCCATCGACCCGGCGGCCGAGCAGAAGCTCCTCCTCAAGCTTGACGCCTTTTTCGTGCCCATCATCATGTAAGATTGCTGTCAAATTCACGAACACAATTGCTCTTGACTAACAATTGATGAAAAACAGGCTGGTCTACCTGACCTGCTTCCTCGACCGAACCAACATCGGCAACGTCAAAGTCGCCGGCATGCCCGAAGACATCGGCGCCTCAACGCAAGAATTCTCCACCGCCATCTCCATCTTCTACGC